GTGTAGAGATAGAGAAAGATAGGAGAGAAAATAAGTAAATGTGTGATAGAGCAACCATTATCTAATCTTATCACTGAGAGAAAATAATGAGGAAATGGAGATGTCAGGACACAGGGGGACACTAGATACCCAGGGAACGTGGTCCATGTGCACAAAATTTTACATAAGAGACCTATAGATGTCTGCTTTCAACTAAGAAGATCACTGACAATAACCCACCTAATGACTGAGTCTAGACTAAGTACAAGCATGGGGATTCATGACACAGATAGGAGAATGTCTTAAGAACCAGAGCTTCAGAAGGAACTTGAACCCCAAGCTGGGATGTCATTGAGACCACCTCCTCTGAACATCCACTTTTACCTCAAACTCTATGACTTCCATCTTTGTCTACACCCCACATGTTGTTGCAGATACAAATTCCCACTCAAACAACAGGAATTGGACTAGTTTTTATCTCTGGCTAGACAGGCAAGGCCACCTTGATTAAAATGGCTAGCAAGACTCTGCTGGTACCTCATGGATGGAGGTAGGAAGAGGCTGTTGACAGAACAGGGGTGGACCAAAAAACAATGTGTATCTATTGGATGAGAATCCATGCTTTTCTAGTATACTTCCATGAATCCTTAGACTCATCCAAACCACAGAAAGCTACAAGAACCAGGAAAGTGACCAATAACACAACACTTTGGGAGTCCTCATGTTCTGCCCTGACAAGTGTTGGCTCTGTAACCTGGGGCAACCTGATCCCTCCACTGGGTCATTTCTGCACCTCTGTGAGAAGCAACAGCCTCATTATACAACAACACCTAAGATTCAACACAGTTTGGCATAGATCAGTTTTTAATCTACCGAACTGAGGCTGCCATGGTACTTCACATTGTACCCCACTTTTTAGTCCTACTCCATTTGTCCCAACAACAGGAAGATGTACCTCTGCTTAATCCTATGCACATAAACCAGCTTGCTCTAAGTCATCATGCTTTAGCTTAGGAGGCAGCTCTTAGCGACACAAGAGGCAGATTTCAACTACAGCAATGTCCTTCTTTTGAGTGGCTTCTCCCTAAACCTCTTAAGCTCTTTCCAGGCGTGATCATCTGAGATCTCCAGTATCTCATTCAAGGAGCAGTGCCCAACCATGGGAAAAAGTCATCCCAGAAAACACGCTATTTATTAGCCAGGTAATTTAGGGGCAGGGAATGGTGAAGGGCCTTTGTTTTATTGTTGGTTGCCAGTGTTTTGTAATCTGCACATTAGTTATACAAATTGAAGACAGAGGATAAATGTTGTTTTTAGGATTTGTAGGTGCCTTGGTCCTGGAGTGTCACAGAATGGAAATGTGGCACTTGTGTGGCACTTTGGAAAGATGTTTTTAAGCGTTGGGATCGGAGTCACCTGAAGGGCTTGATAAAGGATAGATTGCTGGGCCTCATACCTAGAGCTTCTAACTCCATAGGTCTCCGATGAGGCCCAACATTTTGAGCCTCTAACAAATTCCCAGTTGATGTCCACACCCTGGTCCGGGGAGCAAGTCCCTTAAGGTCAGAATCTTCCTAGGAGTTACTTCAGTAATCCTGATCAGAAGTCTGTGAGGGAGACCATATATTCATCTTTAGGACAGAAGCCAAAGGCACACAAGAGTTTTAATACTTGTCTTCAGCTTCTAACCCACACATTCTAGTCTGAAATTTCACTCTTAAGCTCCATGCCCTTCACCTAGTTGTTCAGGGTCACATTAATGACCTGTATTTATAACCTGGTGAAGACAAGCAGTTAATGGAGTTAATGGCACATCACTAATTCCATCTGTGTACTAATGATGTACCTATAGAAAATGCTACACTTTCAAGCAAAAGAGCCGTTAGATGTTAGATTTTTGTACTAAGGAAAAAAATATGACCATTATATGGTTTGTCGCTCTAAAAGACTCTTGTGTTGAAGACTTGGTTACAATATTCAGAGATAGGCCTAAGGAAGTGATTGGTTCGTGGAGGAACTGACCTACTCAGTGTGATATCCATGAATGGCTTCATAAATGAAGGTACTATTGGGAGGCGCTAGAAACTGTGCAAGGTGGGTCTTGAGAGGAAATGGGCAAATGGCGACAAGCCTCAATGGGTGCATCATGTCGTTGACCTTGCTCTCTGTGTCTCTCTGTTACTTGACAGCCTTGAGGTAAGCAGTTTTCCACAACCATGTTCTTCCACTCTCTTTTTGCCTTGCTGCAGGCCTAGAAGTAAGAGATCAAGCATACCACAGACTGAAATCTATGAAATCATGACCATAGTAACTCTTTAGTCTTAGTTAGGGTTTCTATTGCTGTGGAGAGATACCACAACCACAGCAGCTCTCTTAAGGCAAACATTTAATGGGGTGGCTCCCACACAGTTCAGATGTTCGGTCCGTTACCATCATGGTGGGGCATGGTGGCGTGCAGGAGGACATGGTGCTGGAAAGGAGCTGAGAGTCCTACATCTTGCAGGCAACAGGAAGTGGTCTCAGACACTGGGTGGTATCTTAAGCACGTAAGAGACCTCAAAGCCTGCTTCTATGGTGACCCACTTCCTCCAACAAAGCTGTATGTACTCCAACAAGGCCACACCTCCCAATAGCACCACTCCCTTTGGGGGCTGTTGTCTTTTAAACCACCACATCTTTCCTTCCTTAAGTTGCTTTTTTCCATAGTGACTAAATAAATAAATAATTAACCCAGGACATTCAAAGCTTTTTCAATGGATTTATTCAGTGCACATTTACATACAAATGTGCATGGTCCAAGCTTGAGGAGGACATTATAGCATTAATAACCGCCTTAGAGGTTTAATCCCATTTCTTGTGGCTAATGCTGCTTCTTAAGTTTTTAGCTACTTTTTACCTCTCCCTTGGGTTAACACCTAAAATTCTATTGAAATACTATTCAGTTTTTCCTAGATAAAAACTGGTTTCTCTGTGTAATTTCCCTTTGCAAAACCAATTTCTTTATTTCACTCCTTCAAAAGTTTAAGCAAAAAAAAAAAAAAAACCCCAAACTATGAAGTAAACTTTAAGGGTTTCTGGCTATTTCAAAACTATTTTCTAGTTAACTATCAGACCCAATTTTTCACATCTTTGTGAAATAAAATACCCACTATGTTCCATAGTTGAATTTTATATACATAGTTTACAGATAAAAGCATCCTGATTCTAAGAACCTGCAATTGATTTTAAGAGGTCTGGGTAGAAGTAAAAGCCATAGAAGACTTTGAATTTAAGTTCAAAAATGTTCAATTTGAGCTTTGCATTGTGTTTTTGTTTTTTGGTTTTTTTTTTTGGTTTTTCAAGACAGGGTTTCTCTGTATAGCTTTGCACCTTTCCTGGAACTCACTTGGAGCATTGTGTTTTGTTTTGTTTTGTTTTGTTTTGTTTTGTTTTGTTTTGTTTTAAACTGACCTGAAAGCCTCCCTGTACACTACCTTTTATAGTACCAGAAGTTGTCAGGCAAGCTTCCAAGGGAAGGATGTAACCAGCAGTCAGTCTTACCCAGCTTTGATACCTACAAACACAATGACCAACATGATGTCGTATCCCTAAGGGTGAAATAGTGGCATGCATACCTTGGATGTAACCATCAATTCTCTAAATTAGGAACTCATGCTTAGTACTAAAGATATAGCAACTACTCAGGGCTAGTGTAGTCATGAACCTTGAAGAAGAATCTACAGCTGCCACTTTACTAAGCGAGGATATCCCTAACTACATTCTAAATATTCGTCCTTTTATCCACAAACAAGTGTGGTTCTCACCTCTCATTAACGAAACTTCTCTTTGCAACAGAAGGAAAACATTACAGAACAGCGGAACTGATACAAATGTAGAGAACAACTGACCACGCAACGCCCAGTCTCTACCGATGCAGCTACAGCAATGCCTTCCCTGAAGGCTCGGGGATCATTGCAAACAGGGCTGTGAAGATTGGAAGAGGCAAAGGAACAGGAAGTGTTCTGGGAGATTGTATCCCCTAGATTGTTAGAGAAACCACACCCACGAAATCTCACCATCATGGCTGCCTAAGCATGACCTGCACAAGAACAACACCAGTAGACATGGTAAGGTGCAAGGGGGAAATCTCACAGAGTCTCAACATTGGGCAAAGAATGACAGGCAGCTAAGGAATGTGGAGGGCAGGAGAAATAGTCTTCTCCAAAGAAGAGGCTCTGAACTAGCTCCAAGTGGCCAGTCCTGAAATCATATACATATAAGGATCATTATACAGACTGAGCAGATGTATTTATGTCTTTAGGGAAAATATATATATTCATATATATGTACATATTCGTATATACATTTTATATATATATATATATATATATATATATACAATTAAGGAAAAAGAGGCCATGAATTTGAAAGAGAGTAAAAGGAATACATTGTTAGGGGAGGAAAGGGAAAGGGGAAATGATCTAATTATATTTTAATTTCAAAAAATAAAAATAATATGAACATTTTTAAAATAAAAATAATTTAAGGAAGGATTTAACTCTGTTATGATGAAGACTTTTTATTTAAAGAAACATGTAATACAATCATAAGACACTAATGGCAGTACATTCAGAGAAGAAGCTCTTGGCCCATACAAACTGGATTCATGGAACTATCTTCTGCACATTTTCATTCAACAAGTATTTTTTGGCATTTGTTACAGACTAGGCACTCAGCATATCATACTAAGAAGTTGCAATACACAACAACAACAGAAAAAAAACAAAACAAAACAAAACAAAAAACCCAGAAACAAAAAACAAAAACAAAACCTACGGACACTTCCTGAAGATAAATTAGCATGCAGTAGCACAACTGAGTTCTACAGTAACAGCATTCCAAGTGACTGGCCCCGAGGAAACCAAAGCCATTGGGATGGACTGCGAGATGGAAAGCAGTATTTCTAAGTGTTTCTATGATAAAATGGTGGGGATGGAAGAGGCAGTTGAAGCGGAGATGAGACAGTAATGAGAAATTATTACCTATCAAATGTGTCCATACTTCATTTCAGCACAGTGGAAAGCCAGAATATGGATGAGTCCCCTCTTCTATGAATGTGTGTTCCCAAGACCTGCAGTGTTAAATGGAGAACAAAATTACACCTTAGGTGAATTTTTTTTCATATGCATACATACATATGATAAAGTTTGATTTACAAATTAAGAATAGTAAGAAATCAATAATAATAATAAAATTATGTTGACTTAGTTGCTTTTCTTACATTTTTTGGTTGTAAGCCTAGCCTTTAATGGCTGAGCTATCCCTCCAGCCCAGACTTAGTTGGTTTTCTATTGCTGTGAAGAGACACCAGGACCACAGCAACTCTTGTAAAATAAAGCATTTAATTGGAGCTGGCTTACAGTTGCACAGTGTTGTTAGTCCATTATCATCATGGCAAGAAGCATGGTGGTGTGTAGACAGACACGGTGCTGGAGCAGAAGCTGAGAATTCTACATCCAGATCTGCAGGCAGCAGGAAGAGAAAGAGCCACTGGGCCTGGCATGGGCTTTTTGAAATCTCACAGCCCACCTCCAGTAACACGCTTCCTCCAACAAGGCCACACCTCCTATTCCTTTCAAAAAATGCCACTACCTGTGAGCAAGCCTTCAAATCTATGAGCCTATGGGCCATTCTCATTCAAACCACCATACATATCAGTCTATTATAACAAAGGTATATGAATGGGCTATGTCATTCAAAATACCTTATCATTTCATATTCACCTTTACTCCTGTGATGACATGGGATACAGTATCAAAATGTTCAGATACAGTAAAATGGATGACATGAGCATTGTTGCAAAGTATTAGGGAATCATACAAGTAGTAGTTAAACATGGGAGTTGTGATACCACCATAGTTAGTCTGATAATCAAGGAGGCTAATTAAAGGTTAGTGGGTAGGTTGTACATACCAAGTGGATACTCTGGACAAAGGGATAGGTAATTCATGTCTTAAGTAGGACAGAACAGTATGGCATAAGATTTTATCACACTACTGGAAACAAAACACAGTGTAAAACTTAGGAAAACTTAGGAATTATGGAGTTCTCTGTGGTGTGTGAGCTCTTTTTACTTTAATAAGTTGATTCAACTTATTAAACATATAGTCAGTCTACAATTCATTTCTAACTTCTTTCTTCATTTTTTTTCACATATGCATACATGCCAAACATCCAAAGCTTGAATGTCAGACATCTGTAGTGGGCCATGGCCAGCAGTGTTTGTAGCAGAAGGCTTTTTTAGAACATTTAACACTACACACGATAGCATGCTAATGTCATAATACAGTTACAAAAGTGAGTTTTGAAATTATATTTTGCTTGAGCTCAGTTGTGCAAAAGATGAAGGTGGACAAAAGGGCTGGAAGGCCAGTGAAAAACGTCAAAGAGCCGGGCGGTGGTGGCGCACGCCTTTAATCCCAGCACTCAGGAGGTAGATCTCTGTGAGTTCGAGGCCAGCCTGGGCTACAGAGAGAGATCCAGGAGAGGCACCAAATCTACACAGAGAAACCTTGTCTTGAAAAACAAAAACAAAAACAAAAAAACAAAAACAAACAAACAAACAAAATACAAAAGGAAAAAAATGTCAAAGAATACTGCTTCGGTTGAAATGCAGGTCGTGTTTTTCCTACTGCTCAGCATTTTGTTGTTGTTTCTTTTATTTTTTTCTTTCTTCTTACAATACTGTATATTTATTTGACCATGAAGAAAAGAAAATTAGTTAAAAGTTGGAAAGAAATATTACTATAGGATAATTGGCCAGCAAAAACTCTGTAGCCTATGGGGAAACAGCCCCAATCCATCGCTTCCTCAGGGCTAAAGCTTTGCTCACATCCAGGAATATTATGAAGCAAGAATTGTGAACAGAAACTGAGCTGTGTCAATCAACTGATGCTTCTCTAAGGATAGGTGCCCCTAACAGTTCCCTTTCCTTTTGGAATTTCATTTTGTTCCCCGTAGCAAGCAAGACCAAGGACCTTATAGTGTGTAGATAAAAGCAGAGACACCAAAGCCTGCAAGCCTTGACCTGATACCCCACCACAGAACCCGAATTCCCACACAGCCCACACAGTATGGAACTTCCAAGTCCGGAGCATGAGCAAACATTGGTCTGAAACTCTTGTCATTCCTGGATATCGTGATGTTGGCTGACAGGAAGTTTGTACCACTGAAGACACCCTAATTTCGTGGTCCATTCCAAACTGTGCTCACCATGGCGGAAAAAGTGCAATACTCAAAAGAAACCAAATGGAAAAGGATCAGAAAAGAAACAAAGAGAAGAAATTGTATTAAAAGAATATGCCTAGAGATTGCAATTTTAGATTGAAATGTTTCAATATTCAAGGAGATAAAGAACAGAAAAAAATAATATTAAACCAATCAATTATTTAAAAAAAGAAAGGATAAGGCAATTAAAAAAAAAACCAAGTAGACATTCTTGAAATAAAAATTAGACCAGGCACAGCCAAAGAGAGAATATGTAAATATATATCAAAGGAAATCACCCGGAATGCAGGTGAAATATTTAATAGAAGCTTCAAATGATGGAAAAAAATTTTCCTGAGAAGTTTTACAGGTCTTGAATTACAGAATGAGTTATTCTAAAATACATTTAATAAGTGTTCCCAAGGAAGGTAAAAGAGGAAATGGTGAAATAATTTTATTTGGATCATTTGCTTCAAAAAATAAATGCTTGAGCGTCCAAATATCAAACAATAAATAAAGGTAAGTCCTCACACACTGGTACTTACTACTCAACAAACAATAAAGTGGGTCTTAACAGAACACCCTAAAAACTACCAGGAAAAGAAAGGCTGTGCTAGGCAAAGGCAATCAAACCAGCATCAAGGTCCTTATTGGCAACAGTGAGCATCTCCTTCCAGCAAAACTGGCACCTAGGAATGAAGATAAAAACAAGGAATGTCTCACAAAGAAAGGCGGGCAACTACTCACAGGTCCTCACAGTAGAATACCAAGGTGCGCATGTTGTCAAGGAAAGAACTGAACCCTGAGAGTGGGAGAGAAGATGAAACCATTGTGAAGAAATAAATTAATGAAAATGGGACATTTAACATTGGACTGGAATTACAGAAATGTTTGTGGTATGTCATACTCTTTCTATAATTTATTTTTATAGTTTTTTTTTAATAATAAGGATAAAACAGCAGTTGAACATTTGTAAACAGGTACTAGGTTCTAAGCATAGCACAAACATATTTTTATGGATTTTCTGTTAACTTTTTCTAAGAAATGTTGATGGGTTAATTCAATTTTGTAAGTGAGGCAAGTGAGACATTGAGCAGTGAGCTTTCCCAAGGTCCTATAATAATAATAATAATAGTAGTAGTAGTAATAATAATAATAATAATAATTTATGTGTTCTAGGAAAAATATAAATCCAGTCTCTTAATCTGTGAAATGAAGGTACAACTATTTGCTCTGGTCATTCTTAGTGGTTTTGTGAAATTAAAATACTACTAATACGTGTTATAGTGTGTTTAGAGTTCTAAAGTATTATACAGCTCAAAATTATCATAAAAGTAAAATAGAATATGTATGTCAAACTTCAGATAGAGAATTTTGCCAGTTACTGATAGATGGTGGTACTTTTAGAGTCACTCATTTGATTGCATTTTAATGACTTTAGTAAGTAACTTTGATCTATAAAATATCTTTGTGGAACTGTATATTTCTGACCCGTCTTACCTCAAAAGAGGCTAACAAAATATATGTAAATTTTTATATAAGGGGGTCCATCATATATATATCATATATATATTTGATACATGTCACATTTTGTTTCCAAATACATAATCTGTGAAAGCTACTTTTTATTAATTTAAAATATAGCTTCACTTCATGCATCCTCCATTACCAGTCCCATCTTAAAACAAATGTAAGCCGCAGAAAAAGTTCCCATCGTCTCTTTTGAAAAACGAAAAATGTCTAATTTTCACACTACTGTGGTGTGGTTCAAGCTAATGTCGTGCTAAGCTGGTATTAAAGTAGTAACTCCAACAGCCTCATCAGGGAGCTGACCTCACAATGCTGTTGCTAGAAGGTTACATTTGGCTTGATTTCCATAAGTAAATGGAGCCTGAGATTCATTGCATGTCATTTGCATGGTGTAGCAAGTCCTGTATTTATTCTGAATAAGCATTGCATTCTCAAATAAGAGTTAGATGGGGGAAGATGGGCCAGAATTTGATGGAGACACTACTGGTACCCACTTCTTTTGGTTCCCATGATGAATAGAGATTTTTAAGCCTACGGAAAATGAGAGCAGATGTGGATAATGACATAATTTGATATTTATGAATGCAGGTTTTCTCGGAAGACTGAGGAATTATCATGAAAACTATTCATTGAACCTCAGAGAAAATCAATAAATATTAATATCAGAATGCAAATGTTTTCACCATAATTTAAAATGTGAAGAGTATTTACCCATTTGTGCCTCTGAACAATTCAGTGTGCCCTGAATACTTGGTGATGGTGATGATATTTTATTTGTGCTTTAACAAATAAAGCTTGCCTGGGGATCAGAGGAAAAAGCCAGCCACTATATTAAGCATAGAGGTTAGGCAATGTAGCACATGCCTTTAATCCTAGAATTCAGGAGGCAGAGATTCATCCCATCTCTGTGAGTTCAAGGCCACACTGTGAACAGAACCAAACATGGTGGTATACATCTTTAATTCCCAGCACTAATTATCCATAGAGGTTTGGAGGTCTGTACAGACAGACAGGAAGTGATAGAGCCAGGCAGAAAGAGGAAGTGATGTAGCTGGGCGGAAAGAGGAAGTAAGATGGCAGAACACAGAAAGGTATATAGGCGTGGATATACAGAAAGTAGCTCTCTCTTGGGCTGAGGATTTCCTAGTGGTAAGAACTCGTGGCTGGCTTGTTCTAGTCCTCTGATCTTTCAGCTTTCACCCCAATATCTGGCTCTGGGTTTTTTATTAATAAGACCTTTTAAGATTTGTGTTACAGGTGACTGTGTGACATTGCCTGATTCAGAGCACTTCTCTGAACTGCTTAGAATTCTCAGCCCGTCGGTAAGGACACATTTG